GCGATTGTTTAGAACTTCGCAATTATAATCGTGGAATATATCCGAAATACGCATGTATGTATACGTGTGTGTGAATAAGTTTATTGGAACATGTCCACGATATAATCTAGTATGAGAAAATATTTGAGATTCTTACATTATTATATGCATTTTGATTTTACTTCGTAGTAAAATAAATTTGTTTTTTAATGCTATTTAAACAATAGGTAAATGATGTGAAATTTAATTAAATTAAACTTTACAGCAAGCTGTTCAGTAACTAAAATTTATCATTGCGCAATTATATGATACGCTCGTAGAAGCATTTATTAAATATTACGAGGAAACATTGGAGAGATTCTCGACTCTTTGACACGTGTTCATTCTTCATCCAAATAGGAATTTAAGTTCTCATTACCAATATCATCATAGCTATTAGCCCTCGCTCTCTTTTCTCTACTTTATTTTCATTTCATCTAATTTCACGTGATTTATTTGCACTCGAAGTTGGATTATAGGATTGCGAGTCATGAAGCCGAACGTGGTACGAGTCCCCGCTAATTTCTTCCTCGAAAACGGAGACACCTTGCACAGATCCGCGTTACCTGCCCTTTGCTAAGCCCCGGCTAGGCCCCGTTCTTAATGGTCGGTCATACATTATCGTAAATGAGGAAAGTTGAACACGGGGCGAGACGGAACAACGGGGTAAAGGGCGGCGCCAGCTGCGAGGCCGTGCAGCTTCCAACTTCATAACCGTCGGGCGAGATGGGCCAAACTAGTCATATACCCAGAAATTTCCAAAGTGCATCCTACATTCGTGCGCGCGATTCTTTTCTTCGTTTCTTCTTTCAGTAGCCTGCGCGCCGTTAAACTTTGCTCGTTAAAACCTTCGTTTGATATCTAACGCATTAAAAGAAAAGATAATAACGAACGTTTCGATCGTTAATTCTCTCGGTTGCATTGTACAGACATATCAAACGCGATTTTATACGTTTTATATGTAAAAGTTGTCGACTTGTTGAGATTTTTGTTTAATTTTTTCATCTCACTTATCTTACGTACAATATTAAAATTTAATCATCGTATCAAGTTTCGAGATTAAACAAACGATTTCAAGTCGCGTATATTCTATATTCTAAAGCACGAACTATAGAGAAAAAAAGATGCTAGGAACGTGTATATCTCTCCCATTTTGTGTAATTTAATCGAATATGTACAATTACACGCACGAAGTGGTTATATTATTTTTTGATAAAAATTCAAAATTACAATGCATATGCATAAAAGTGCAAAATTAAAATTTTTAACAGCAAATACGAATAAATAGAATATTTTACAAGAATCTTTCGATCAAAGTACCTGCGGTTCCATTAGACTCGCGCGTCTCCACACGTCCGCCACGCTGCACGTCTTGCGCGAGACTGACCCTCACTACTGCAAAAGTATCACTCTGCGTAGCGGTCGCCAACTGACGGCGAAACCTAACTCACAACCCGAGAGCTGAGTCATCACAGAGTCATACGATTCAGCATCGAGTCTGACGATCACCTTGTGCGATTAAACTTAAATTTTCTCTTTTATTTTCTCTTTAGTTACCAAATGTCAGAACTTATTACTTTTTACTGACAAGTAAACCTACTGACGTGTTACACTTTGATTTTTTTCAAATTTGACAAATGTAGAACTACTGAAATATTTTTTCATTTGTTAATACCCATTCAATATTCAATCTCTTACATTTTATTATTTGAACAAATAATTTTGTAAATCTTACTTTACATTCATAATCATAGCGATCCAAAAAACTTTTATATCTTACATCAACTTTCTTATGCATTTTTGTTGAACTTATAATGATGGAGGATTGAAAGTACATTAATTACCCGCGGGTACAAATAAAAAAAATACGAGTCAAATATTTTTGATAGATACATATTTATGTCAAATTTGAAAAAAAAAATCGGAGTGCAACACTTGAATAGATTTACTTGTCAGTAAAGATAGGTGTGACACGCGATGCTAAATCGCCGACTTAAAAGAACGCAAGCGGCGTTTGTCGTGCGTTTTATTATAATCAATTATACGAATTAATGTGCGTGCATATACGTATACGATTATATATGATGCTCGTCTGTGTGCAGACGAACGATATAATAACGGCGGGACTATAATATCTCACACTCCTATAAGCGCTCGTACGAAGAGAGCACGTACTCGCGTATACACGCTGCTTCATCACGATCATCTTCTTTAGAGCCCGTCCAGCCTTTGCTTCTATTCTTCATTCTTCCCCTTTTCCCGCTTCCTCGTTTGCGCCATAAGAAAGATTCGAGATGCGTTTAGCCGCCATATGCCGCGCATGCCGATATGGCCATTAGCTCGCGATTTCTACAAGATCTTATATTGATATACGTCTAATAGATACCGTCCGCTACCGCTTAGTCCGCCGTTTATGCCTGGAAATTGCCGGTGGGATCTTCCTCCAGCTTCCATACCCGGTGGTCCGAAAGCGCACTCTCAAAATTATATACTTCCGATTTTATTTATGTCGTGAATTCGATTCGATGAACGTAATGTATATATGTCGCAGACTTTTTCTCTAAATTCAGGGTTTTTTAAATAAAAAGTTTGCTAAAAATTGCCGCAAATTGCTAAGTGTTTTACGAAGCGATGGTTTACAAAGATTTGAAGCTTTATAAAAGAATCGACGGCAAATACTTTTATTTTATTTTCTGATGTGATGAAATTTAATGTATATATATATATATATATATACATACAATTTTTATAAGCTATTCCTTCATAAAACAGTTAATAATTTGCGGCAAGTTTTAGCAAACGTTTTATAAGAAAATTTGAATTTAGAAAAAGTTTCTTATAAAACGTTTGCTAAAACTTGCCGCAAATTACTAACTGTTTTATGAAGGAATAGTTTATAAAAATTGTATGCTTTATAAAAGAATCGACGGCAAATAATCCGATTTTATTTTTCGATGTCATGAAATTTAATGTATAAATATCGCAAGCTTTTTCTAAATTAAAATTTTTTTTCATAAAAAGCTTGCTAAAAGTTGTCACAAATTGTTAGATGTTTTATCAAGCATCAGTTTACGAAGATTTTATGCTTTATAAAAAGATACCTTTGTAAAAAGTTTACAACATACATATATGCTCATGCATATTATAGTGTGAGCTTGATTATTTTTATAGCAAACTATAGATTAACGTAATGTCAAATTAATCATTTTTCGCAATATTTCAATATTTGTAGTACGTGGTTTTATATGTATATAAATGTGTGATTACAGAATTTTAAAATTATATCTTATATAAATCTTTATCACACGTACATTTGTAAACTGTCGAATATTGACATAATATAAATCAAATGCGAATATTTTTTTTATCCGATAAATATCGGATTGATTCGCAAACGTTGGAAAAGGATAACGAGGAAGATCAATGACCGACGTGTACGAATTTCGCCCGAAATATTCGGTCAAGTGAGACCATTGTAATGGAACACCCTTAGAATATGAATACAATGCTCGTGTGTAGCCTCACCCCAGGTCAGAGAAGTACCACGTTTCACGTCGCTGTTACGATTTACTCCAGCTTGTCATAGATACGCTTGTGAAGCTCTTTAAATAGATTCCTCAGTAATCTGCAATGTCCTCCATAATTTATAATGCACCGATTAATTAATTATATAGTTTTTATAAGTTTCTCAGAAAACTCATACGAGATTATATATATAATTATAATTTTATCTGCATGAAAATTCCAAGATATGAGTTATTCTAAATTTGGCAAACTAAAACTAGTAAATTATTAATTATATTAAAATTATTAATAATATATTTACTTAATTTTGTCACCACATGTGTGTGGTAAACGAGAAAGAGAGAGAAGGAGAGAGAGCTTCGTTAAAATGTGATATGTATATGTGAATTTCTGTTACATTTTACGAATTTGCGGAGATTATCGGTCGTATGGATCTTTGCAAAGATCCGAAATCCCATCGGATCCTTCCGGATTCCATTACGGAATACCATTCCGCCCGCCTTGCTCGTCTTCCATCGGGCACGAACGGAATCGCGCGCTTTGCACCTTTGCTGCAAGTGGAAATTGCTTCCCTCCTCCGTCTTCGGGTCTAGCAACTTTAATCTCGCGCCAAAATCGATGCGCTCTCCACTGTCGTCTCGACAGGATGGGTACATTGATTTACCTTGTGAGCGACAGGTTTATTACTCCAACGCGTGTACGAGTGCACCCGCATGAATAAAACTCGAGTCGTACGACTCGTCGGGATTGATTCGGTGCCGCTCCTCTTGGAATCGGCCGTCCCGTCGCGGAAATGCGCTCGTATAACCTTGCCCGAAAATGCCGAGATTGAATTCCTGCGTTTTTCCGCAGTTTTTCCGTTACCCCTTTTCACGAGCCACTCGTAAAATCCATAATAGTAACGTGCGTCAATATGTTGCCACTCTTTCTGTTTTCTTTATGATCTTCTTTGGCAAAACTGAAATAAAATTATTGACGACTTCATTAATCTTGAAGTAATACCTCGTGTAATATTGTTTAATCGTATCAAATGAACGTTTGAATATATGTTTACCACAGATATAATTATTTCTTAAAATCCATAATAGTAACGTGCGTCAATATGTCGCCACTCTTTCTGTTTTCTTTATGATCTTCTTTGGCAAAACTGAAATAAAATTATTGACGACTTCATTAATCTCGAAGTAATACCTCGTGTAATATTGTTTAATCGTATCAAATGAACGTTTGAATATATGTTTACCGCAGATATAATTATTTCTTAAAATCCATAATAGTAACGTGCGTCAATATGTCGCCACTCTTTCTGTTTTCTTTATGATCTTCTTTGGCAAAACTGAAATAAAATTATTGACGACTTCATTAATCTCGAAGTAATACCTCGTGTAATATTGTTCAATCGTATCAAATAACGTTTGAATATATGTTTACCGCAGATATAATTATTTCTTAAATCCATAATAGTAACGTGCGTCAATATGTCGCCACTCTTTCTGTTTTCTTTATGATCTTCTTTGGCAAAACTGAAATAAAATTATTGACGACTTCATTAATCTCGAAGTAATACCTCGTGTAATATTGTTGTTCAATCGTATCAAATTAACGTTTGAATATATGTTTACCGCAGATATAATTATTTCTTAAAATCCATAATAGTAACGTGCGTCAATATGTCGCCACTCTTTCTGTTTTCTTTATGATCTTCTTTGGCAAAACTGAAATAAAATTATTGACGACTTCATTAATCTCGAAGTAATACCTCGTGTAATATTGTTCAAAGTTCAATCGTATCAAATTAACGTTTGAATATATGTTTACCGCAGATATAATTATTTCTTAAAATCCATAATAGTAACGTGCGTCAATATGTCGCCACTCTTTCTGTTTTCTTTATGATCTTCTTTGGCAAAACTGAAATAAAATTATTGACGACTTCATTAATCTCGAAGTAATACCTCGTGTAATATTGTTCAAAGTTCAATCGTATCAAATTAACGTTTGAATATATGTTTACCACAGATATAATTATTTCTTAAAATCCATAATAGTAATGTGCGTCAATATGTCGCCACTCTTTCTTTTCTTTATGATCTTCTTTGGCAAAACTGAAATAAAATTATTGACGACTTCATTAATCTCGAAGTAATACCTCGTGTAATATTGTTTCAATCGTATCAAATTAACGTTTGAATATATGTTTACCGCAGATATAATTATTTCTTAAAATCCATAATAGTAACGTGCGTCAATATGTCGCCACTCTTTTGTTTTCTTTATGATCTTCTTTGGCAAAACTGAAATAAAATTATTGACGACTTCATTAATCTCGAAGTAATACCTCGTGTAATATTGTTCAAAGTTCAATCGTATCAAATTAACGTTTGAATATATGTTTACCGCAGATATAATTATTTCTTAAAATCCATAATAGTAACGTGCGTCAATATGTTGCCACTCTTTCTGTTTTCTTTATGATCTTCTTTGGCAAAACTGAAATAAAATTATTGACGACTTCATTAATCTCGAAGTAATACCTCGTGTAATATTGTTCAATCGTATCAAATTAACGTTTGAATATATGTTTACACAGATATAATTATTTCTTCGTTCCGGTGCGGCGAACTTATTTTACCGTTGACGAAAATTTAATGATATGTCACATTACGTGCAATTTTCCACGTTAAATATCTTGAATTCAAAATATCCATCGAGTGCGTAAATTTAGATATGCAGTTTAATTTTTCTTTGCCCATACGCAAAATATATATATATATATATATATATATATATATATATATATATATATCGATCTCCGCTCGAAATGGAAGATATCCGTAAACGTGTCACGCGAATCGCGCGCAATTCTACGAGAGGAATAAAACCGCGAGAAAGCATCTCGCGCGCGGACGAGCAGGTTAATTTCGGCGGCGCATTTCATATTCGGTGCGTCACGGGCAAACGATTCTGCCAGTAGCGTATCACCACAGTGTTCAAGAGGTGGCCCTGACAGTGACACGCGGTCGCCGCGGAAAAGCGTAAAACCCGCGCGAAAATCCGCGCTTGATCGCCGTGCGAGCGTGCCGCGCCGGGCGGCAATCACGTCGCCGCAGTTGAAATTGGCATTTTGATTGGACGAGACAAAAATTGCGGTCGCTCGAGGATACACATCGCTGTTGAAACGCGTTCTTCAGCCTCGACATTTCGCTTCAAATGCAGATCCTCCGGTTAGGCTGCGCGGATCCGCGTGACTTTCGGCCTCTACTCGGCGCGTATCAAAAGCAGACGCGCTCTCAAGAGCAGAGAGAGAGAGAGAGAGAGCGCTGTGACACTGAGCGTGTCAGCCTGGTTTAGATCACTATACTTGGAAAAAACAACCGATATTGATCGACGGTTTAACCCAGATTCGTCTCGACTCCACATTGATATTTGATCATTCAACGAAAAAACGACAACGCTTTTTTTTAGATTAAAATTTATTTCACATCAAACTTTTATGTCATCCCGATCTTTTTTTATTATTTGAAATATTGTATACAATATGTGTATTACAATTTAATCCTAAAGGGAGAGGACACGCATTTACCGTCGATCCCGCGGGACTCGGATAACGAAGCGAGACTCTGCTTTCGTCGAGAGGACTCGCGCTTTTCTCGAATTCGAGCGATCGCTCGACTGCATCGACAATCGGCACAGGGTATTCGAGGTGAAAACCGGGATCGCCCGAAGGCATTTTGTCGGGAAGCCGACGAACGAGTTGTCGTCGTGTGTCGTTCGTTCGCGAACGTCGATTGCCCGCCGCGACAACGCACGTTGATTCGAGACTCTTTCGGGGCTTTTCATCGCGACACTTTCGTCTGGGGGCTCTTTGTGCGATTTAAGGGGAACCTTGCGCGACCCGAGGCAATTCGCTCCGAAGGCGGTTTCGAATTTCACCTCCCTTTTCGCGTCTACGAAATGCCCGGCCCTTTTCCCCGATCCCATCCGAAATCCGTTTTCTCCCGAGGAAAATCGAAGGCGCTACGCAAAGGCAATCCGACCTTCATCGATTGCCGGGAAAAGTTGATCTGGGCTTTTCCTCCTTTGAGAACGCACGACACCTTACCGCGGTCGTCAACACTGTGCTGAGTAAACCAGAATGTTGCTTTTTGCACAAGGCATCCTTCGATATTCAAAGCCCGAAAAATGAATACCAATGATTTGAGGCAATCTCTGCTCGGATGATATAAACGTTGTTCGAACTTGGTGATTAATTAGATTTTTTATATTTATTATTTCACACATTTAAACGCGAGAAGGGTGATGAAGAACGCAATGTCTTGCGTTTCAAAACCGTGACTGCGGATGATGTCAAAAGCGGGACTTCTTGTATTTTTACGAGAGAGGAAAGATCAGCCGGTTAACTAGGCTAACTGTCGGAGACAGAAGAATATTCTACCGTAAACGTAACGATCCCTGCGGCGCTTCAATTAACGAGACTGGCAATTATCCGATTTTTTTAAAATGAGATTCTCAGAGCTTTCAAAAACGAATGTGTTTTATGCTCTGATTACACAACAAATACAACACAAAAAATAAGATTTTAACTAAGAACTTTACATTATAAAGAGAAAATTGAGACTATAAGATAACGTAATTATTTCTATAATAAAAGTGCACATTAATTTCTTGTGAATAAGATTCGCTTATAAATATTTGATTATATAAATCAATATAATTTGTAACAGCTCTTTAAAAATTAATATACATATAAAAGGCAATAAGAGCTAATTAAGTTCTTTTATTAATATTTATTTGTGGAAAAAAAATTTTAATAACATAAAATATTAGACAAAAAAGTTCGAACGTTTCGGTTGCCTTTTTCAACCTTCTTCAGCGCATCATTTAAAATTAAAGATTAATAGAAATTAACAATCAATTATTCATAACTGTCAATATACTAAAACTATACAGAAACAGAGTTATTCGCATAAAACTACGTCAAGATATTATTTTTATAAAAAACGAAATCAACGCATTTTTTAAAAGCATGAGCATTTTTATATATTCTATTTCTCGAATCGTCATTTAATGTAATTGTCGCGAAACAGATCTCTCGCTAATTGTTCGGTTGCGAATCTCGATAACAGCAATTGTTAATATGTCTATAAAATCATTATATACGAAAAATTAACATTGAAAGATAAGTAAATTAATAAAAATAGACTTACAATTAAATCGAGTAAGATATTATATTGTGACGTGAAGGCTTTCAGATGTTGATTGCTCGAGGTTACAATAGCGAATGATTTTTATCTCTCAGAGAGACGGCCACACAACGGAGAAAATAGTTAGTTGTTTATGTTTTTTAACTTTCACATCTTAGATAGTCTATGTATTATATCGTCGTAAATTACTTATATAAATCAATATCTTCTCTGCTTAATATTTTGCAAATTATTTGTTCCGAAAAATATATATATATAATAATTTTATTTTAATATTTAACTAACTTTGTATTTTTAACATGTAACTTTGTATTTTAATTTTAACTTTTATGTATTGAAAAAGACTGTAGTGCAGTCAAAACGTTTACGATTTATATTGTTTCTGTAACGGAATGATAATTTAATTATTTAAAAATTTTTACATCTTATTTTTTGCTCGTTCAGTTGGCCTACTATATTTGATTTGGTTAATTTTATATAATACTCTCTTATAATTAAATCTTTTAAACTTAATGCTCAAAGTTTTGCACTTCTATCTTTTACCTAAGCTCTTATATATTTATCCTTCCCTTGAAAAAAAAATAAAATTTACGAGACAATACAACTTTGCGACATAAGATGCAAACAATTTGATACCCAAGTATAATGTTCACGGTGCGAACGCTCATGACTTAAAACATCCGGTTTTACATCGAGAGTGAAAATCCTCGACGAAATAACCCTTCTAATCGTCGACGACGCCGCCCCTTGCGAGGTATCCGGGATTCTACCTTTCCCTCGCAGTCTGCTGCGACTACATCCGGGCGCAAAGACGGAGAGACGCAAGGGCCTCATTTAAATAACAGATAATTGCTAGTCCTGTTAATTGAAGCGCCGCAGGGATCGTCGGGGCAGAAGAGTTACCCAAGATTTCACGCGCCGCCTTTCCGCCCTCATTCGTTGTTCTCCTCTTCGTCGCCGACGTCGTCGTATCTTTCGTTGCGCGCTCGAGTTAGTTAATGCGGGGCTCGTTTTACGACGACGAGTGTATATCGCTTTTGTCGTCAGCTGCAACGCGTTTCGGTACTCATTACGTCGCCTCGACTTTGTCTCAAAGCACCGTCGTCGCCAACCGTGTTGCGATCGAGAAGCCCGAATAGTAACGCGAGTCGACTTCCGTCGTTATTGCACGAGACCATTTTTTTTAATCTTTGAATACACTTGGTCATCGTTTGGCCAGTTACAAGATTTGGAAAAAGAACTTTTCTTTTTCTTCTTTCCTCAATGGTAAAAGTCGACCAAACTGGCAATCATTTATTATAGATAATTAGTTAAAATATAACGTTTTGGCTGTCATTGCAGCCCTTTTCACAAGTAAATCTATAAAAAGTTATATAAAAATAATTATAATTTTAATACATTTCGTCGCAACAAATAATTATAAATTTATATACAAAATGACAGCCGAAACGTTGTATTTTAACTAATTATTTATAATAAATGATTGCTAGTTTGGTCGACTTTTACCATTGAGGAAAGATTTTTATTAATTATTACTGGCGAACCTTAAGGATTATTATCTGTTTTCTTTTTCTTGTAGAATCAATAATTAAATTTAATAATATTGCATTATAAATTATGTATGAGAGAATGTTATATTTATATGTATACATATACGTAATGTACATACTTATCATTAAAGTGGATGGATG